AGGAGGAGATTAAAAATTCTTAGAGGTAAATGAGAACACAGACACAACATATCAAAATTTCTGGGACACTATGAAAGTAGTACTAAGAGGAAAATTCATTGCATGGAGTTCATTCCTTAAAAGAAGAAAAAGTCAACAAATAAATGACATCACACTATATCTCAAAACCCTAGAAAAAGAAGAACAAATCAGCAACAAAAGCACTAGAAGGCAAGAAATAATTAAAATTAGGGATGAAATCAAAACAAAAGAAACAATGGGAAAAATAACTGACAAAACAAAAAGGTAGTTCGTTGAAAAATAAATAAAATCCAGAGACCCTTAGCCATGCTAATTAAGAGAAGGAGAGAGAGAACTCAAATTGCCAGCATATGTGATGAAAAAGGTAATCTCACAACAGATACTACAGAAATACAGAGTATAATTAGAAATTATTTTGAAATCTTATACTCCAATAAAATAGAAGAAATTGAAGGCATTGGCAAATTTCTTAAGTCATACGAAATGACCAGATTGAGTTAGGAAGATATACACAATTTAAACAGACTAATATCAAGTGAGGAATAGAAGAAGAAATCGAAAGCTTACCAACCAAGAAAAGCCTAGGACTGGATGGATACACAGCTGAGTTCTACAAGACCTTTAAGAAGAACTAATACAAATATTCTTCAATTTATTTCAGGAAATTAAAAAAAAGGCAGTAATTCCAAACTCATTCTATGAAGCCAATATCACCCTGATCCCAAAACCAGGCAAAGACACATCAAAGAAAGAAAATGACAGACCAATATATCTAATGAACATAGATAAAAATTCTCAATAAAATTCTGGCAAATCAAATACAAAAACATATCAAAAAGATTGTGCACCATGATCAAGTGGGATTCATCCCAAGGATGCAAAGTTGGTTCAACATAAGGACATCAATAAATGTAATTCATCACATCAATGGACTTAAAGATAAGTATCATATGATCATCTCAATAGACACATAAAGATAAGTATCATATGATCATCTCAATAGACACAGAAAAAACATTTGACAAAATACAGCATCCCTTTATGTTCAAAACTCTAGAAAAACTAGAAATAACAGGAACATGTCTCAACAAAATAAAGGCTATCTACGCTAAGCCTCAGGCCAACACCATTCTAAATGGAGAAAAATTGAAGGCATTCCCTCTGGAACAAGATAGGGATGCTCTCTTTCACCACTTCTATTGAACATAGTTCTTGAAACACTGAGCAGAGCAATTAGACAAAAGAAACCAAAGGGATAGGAAAAAAGAACTTAAATTAGCACTATTTGCTGACAATATGATTCTATACCTAGAAGACCCAAAAAACTCCAACAGAAAACTTCTATAAATAGTAAATGAATTCAGCAAAGTAGCAGGATATAAAATCAACACCCATAAATCAAAGGCATCTCTGCATATCAGTGACAAAGCCTCTGAAAAGAAAATGAGAAAAACTACCCCATTCACAATAACTTCAAAAAAATAAGATACTTGAGAATTAACTTAACAAAATAGGTGAAAGATCTATACAGTGAAAACTACAGAACCCTAAAGACAGAAATCAAAGAAGACCTTAGAAGATGAAAAGATCTACCTTGCTCTTGGATAGACAGGATTAATATTATCAAAATGACCATACAATCAAAAGCACTACACAGATTTAATGCAATTCCGATCAAAATCCCAATGGCAATCCTCATAGAAATAGAAAACGCAATCATGAAATAAGTCTGGAAAAATAAGACACCCAAAATAGCTAAAGCAATCTTTACTAGGAAGCAGGTGGCATCACTATAACAGACCTTAAATTATACTACAGAGCTATATTAACAATAACAGCATGGTATTGGCACCAAAACAGACTGGTAGACCAATGGTACAGAAGAAAGGATTCAGAGACTAATCCACAAAATTACAATTATCTTATATTAGACAAAGGGGCCAAAAACATGCACTAGAGAAAAGACAGCATCTTCAACTAATGATGCTGGGAAAACTGGAAATTCATATGCAACAAAATGAAATTAAACCCATATCTCTCACCATGCACAAAACTTAACTCAGAATGGATCAAGGACCTAGGAATTAAACCAGAGACTCTGCATCTAACAGAATAAAAAGTAGGCCTTAATCTTCATCATGTGGGATTAGGCCCCAACTTTCTTAATAAGACTCCTATAGCATAAGAATTAAAACCAAGAATCAATAAATGGGATGGAATCAAACTAAAAAGTTTCTTCTCAGCAAAAGAAACAATCTGTGAGGTGAACAGACAGCCAACATAGAAGCTAATTTTTACCCCTCATACATCAGATAGAGCACTAATCTCTAGGGTATATAAAGAACTCAAAAAGCTTCACAGAAAAAACAAATCACCCAATCAACAAATGGCCTAAGGACCTGAACAGACACTTCTCAGAAAAGGATATACTATCAATCAACAAATATATAAAAAAAATGCTCATCATCTCTAGCAATAAGAGAAATGCAAATCAAAACTAATCTAAAATATCATCTCACTCCAGTCAGAATGGCAGCTATTATGAAGACAAACAACAATAAGTGTTGGCAAGGATGTGGGGGAAAAAGTATGCTCATACATTGCTGGTGGGACTGCAAATTGGTACAGCCAATATGGAAAACAATATGGAAACCTGGGAATGTAACCACCATTTGACCCAGCTATATAACTCCTTGGTCTATACCCAAAGGACTTAAAAACAGCATACTACAGGAACACAGCTACATCAATGTTTATAGCAGCACAATTCACAATAGCTCAACTTGGAGCTAACCTAGATGCCCTTCAATGGATGAATGGATAAAAAAAAAAATGTGGACCATATAAACAATAGAATTTTACTCAGAAATAAAAGAGAATAAAATCATGGCATTTGCAGGTAAATGGATGGCGTTGGAGAAGATAATGCTAAGTGAAGTTAGCCAATACCAAAAAAAACAAATGCTGAATGTTTTCTCTGATATAAGGAGGCTGACTCATAGTGGGGTTGGGAGTGGGAACATGGGAATAATAGATTAATTCTAGATAGGGAAGAGGGGAGGGAGGGAAAGGGAAGAGGCAGGGGATTAGCAAGGATGGTAGAATGTTATGAACAACATTATTGAAAGTACATGTATGAAGACACAAATTGGATGTCAACCAACTTTATATACAAACAGAGATACGAAAAATTGTGGTATATATGTGTAATAAGAATTGTAATGCAAAAATAACAAAGACATGAATTGGCGTGAGATACTTTATATACAAAGATATGAAAAACTGTGCTTTATATGTGTAATAAGAATTATAATGCATTCTGCTGTCATGTATTTAAAAAAATAAAATCAATTCTTCTCTGATATAAGGGGGGTGACTCAAAATGGGGTTGGGAGGGAGAGCAAGGGAGGAAGATTACCTCTAGATAGGGAATAGGGGTGGGAGGGAAAGGAAGAGAGAAGGGGAATAGCACGGATGGTGGAAGGAGACTCTCATCATTATACAAAATACATGTATGAAGATGTGAATTTGGTGTCAACATACTTTATATACAAACAGAGATATGATAAATTGTGGTATAAAGGTGTATTAAGAATTGTAATGTTGGGCTGGGGATGTGGCTCAAGCGATAATGCGCTCGCCTGGGTTCAATTCTCAGCATCACATAAAATAAAAAATAAAGATGTGTCCACCGAAAACTGAAAAATAAATATTAAAAAATTCTCTCTCTCTCTCTCTCTCCTCTCTCTTTAAAAAAATTGTAATGCAAAAAAAAGAGAGTTCATGTATAATGGCATAATTTGGCGTAAACATACTTTATATATAGAGATATGAAAAATTGTGCTGTGAATGGATAATTATGATTGTAATGTATTCCACTATTGTCATGTATGTAAGAAATAAAAATAAATAAATAATAAATAATAAATAAATACTGCATTGATTTATGTTGCCATCAACAGCAATGCTGCTTCTTCATCCCTTATTCCTCATCAACAATGGACCTCAGTGAATTCTTCACTCTTCCCCAATTTGAGAGGTGAAAATAAAACAGCAGCACATTAGTGTTTTAATTTTATTTTTACAAACAAAAAGTTCAATCATATTTCCATGAATTTATTGTATATTTGAAATCATTTCTCTATAAATTGATTATTTATAGTCTCTACACTACTTTCTATAAGGTATTCCTAAGAACAACATTTAATATTTTAAGTAATATATTTGAGAAATATTTAATCAGCATCATTATAATATTAGGATATTATAAAATATTATAATAATAATAGAAGATTATTTTAGTTGGCAATCTGTACCTAAGACACCCCTCAAGAAAAGCTAAAGTCATAGCAGTAAATATTTAATTTCATTCCCTCTAATACACGGTTACCCAATTGACCTTCATTCATACTTAAATAAGTATGCTAGTGAATTTCCTATAATAAAATCTTCTTAATTCTTGTTTTTAGATAATCAAATATTTATAGGTAAAAACTAGGAAGAAATTGAAAATTAAATAACTATCATGCATGCCTATAATCTGAGTGGCTCAGAGGTAGAGACAGGAGGATCCCAAATTCAAACCCAGCCTCAGCAACTTAGGAAGGCCCTAAGACTTGGTGAGACCATGTCTCAAACTAAAAAATTTAAAAAGGAATGGAGATTTGGCTTGAGTGGTTGAGTACCTCTGGGTTCACTCCCCAGTACCAAAGGGAAAAATTAAAAGAAAGAAATTGGCATGTTGATCATTAGCTGACAATTTGGAACCATTAATTTCATCTAGTGTTTCTCATTTAGTACTAAACCAAGGAGACATTTCCAAGAATGAGAAAACCTAAAATCTAAATTAAATCTGTCTAGAGAGGGCATAGTATATCTATCTTTCACTGTTATATGAGCCACTCTCTTTATACTTTAAAAATCAATTTCATACAGTCCTGGAGTAACCATTCACAGGTTGGAATGGAATAAGAACTTGCCTGATCAATGTAAAAAGCCGTGCCTGCACGGATCTCTCTTCGCTGTTTGAGATCAGTTTCAGTGGTGTCCCTTGACAGGGCAATGTATTCAACCTCCCGTTTGGTTAGCTCCTGTAGAATAGAGAGTTGTTATTCCAGAACTAAAATCAAACTACCAGGAAATGATTTGGAACAAGTTATTTGACAATGACAATACCCTCGAGAAGAACATTTAAATGAAATTCTGAATGAAAATCTTTTGAGTCTCAGCTTTGAGAAAAATACAACCTATTGAATACTAATCAAAATGCATATATCTCTTAGTGCTCTCTTTCTACTGCACTCAGTCCCACTAGGGCAATAATTTATCAAAATTAGATCCTGTAAACCTTAATTTCTTCTGTAGAATTCTTTTCAAATATCATGAATAATAATGTGGCAATATTCCTATTTGGTACTCACAAATTATAACAATTTCTATAAATAAAGTTCATGTAATTTTAAACGTGATTTAAATTATTTCATTCCATTGACCAATGTTTACCAAATATATACAGTAATTTAGATAATTTTCCAAGAATTAAAGTAAGGTAAATGTCAAGTCAGGTCAACAGAGAGGAGACACACAAGCACAGCTGAAGGAGATGAAAAAAGAAGGAGGAAGAAGAGGAAAAGAAGGAGGAGAGAAGGAGAGGAATGAGTGGGGGAAATCATTTTACCAAAACATCATGTGATTGAAGGGAAAACTATCCATAATACAATTCTTTCCAAATAATTTATCCATTCAAACTCATTGTGTCTGATATAGAACATCAAGATTTAAAAAAACCTCTAACATTATCCTTGCATTATCCTTGAATTAAAAACAATGATAATTTCCAATCAAATAAGAGATTTAATAAGTCTTTACTAAACAGGTAAAACAAATTAATTTACCAGAGAATAGAGGAAAAAGTTGAATAAACATGTCACTGATGGCATAAAGGGTTACTACCACAGAAAGTAACTTTTTCTCTCCATCCTATTTTTATTTTATATTAGCAAAACAATACATATTATTTTCATTCCATTTTTAAAGTATGCTTGTTCCCATGTTGCTATAACTTTATGTATGGAAAAGAGGAAACATTTTTAAGCATAGAATACATACAGCACAGTGATAAAGATGTGGTGTTACCAAACAACATTTTCCTAAATACAAATGAATTGTCTGTGAGATCCAATTTTGGAGGAAAGTACCAGTTTCTCTTTTTAGCAGATAACCTCCTTCCTGTTTCTGGAACACATCACTACTACCTTCGTATCTGCTTCTTTCATTGGCTGAATGTGATCCCCTTCACTGAAAACCCTGTCATTCACAATGGTTGACAAGGCTATGTATGCCTCTGATTGTTAAATTGCACCACAGTTAAACTTTGAACTGCCACACTGAGGACAATGTTATCATTATCCTCAGTCTTAACAGCTTCCTGGGACAGCCATGACAAGCACTATAGTCTCTTCAGGTGCTTCTTCGTGACAGTAGACCAAGCAAGCCACAACAGTAATAGGAAGAGGTAGCAGTGGTCTGCTGAGTGTTTTGTTTGGGGGCTTTGTTTTGCTTTATTTTGTTTGTTTGTTTTTAAATCTACAAACCTTGTATGAGTTAACTATCACATAAAGACAATTATCAACTTATTTCTCTTTGGTTCTTCAGGTTTGCCCCCAAATTTCTGCCTCTAAAGATATTATCTACTCTGGGCATGACTAAATAAAGGCTCTTATACCTACTGACAATAGTACTCACTGCAGAGTTTGCAGGGTGGCTTAAGCTAGTATTGAATTTTCAAATGTGTATTTCCACATCATATGGCTGCCTCAGCTGTATTTCACAATTTAAAGTTTGGTTGTGGTTGTTTTCAAACATACAGGCTTTACAGTAACAGACTTATGTTGCATTTTGAACCAAAAACGCCCCTAAAATCTCCTTGTCCTTCTCATTCCACAATCCCAACAAGCTTCAAAGTCTTGCCAGAATCAAAATCTCAATGAGATTGTCTTTGAAAAAAGCAAGGGAGAGAGTGTACATCTAAAAATTAAAGAGGTAGATAATGTCTTTAGAGGCAGAAATTTCGAGGGATTCTTAGTAGCTGATCCCCTGTTCTTAGACAAAACAATTTCACCATGTGTGTTAATAAAGAGACTATAAGGGGCTGTGGTCGTAGCTCAGTAGCAGAGTGTTTACCTAACAATGTGGGAGGCACTGGGTTCAATCCTCAACGCCACATAAAAATTAATAAAATAAAGTTATAAAAAAATACAATAACATTATTAAAAAAGACATGATAATGCTATAAAGGCATGTTATGCCTCACACATAGGATCTAGGAATAAGTAAGATACAAAAGGTAAGGGTAGTAAGAATTAGGTTCTGTCCTATCGATTTTATGGGGTTTGAACTGGCGGTCCTATACCACTGAGCTACATCTCCAGTCTTTTTCATACTTTGAGACAAGGTCTCTTTAAGTTGCCTACCTCAAACATGTGATCTTTCTAAATAGCTGTTTGTAGGTATGTACCACTTTTGCCCAGCTTGTCCAATGTATTTTTTTTAACATTTTTTTAGTTGTAAATGGACACAATATCTTTGTTTTTATTCATTTATTTTTTTTATGTGGTGCTGAGGATCAAACCCAGTGCCTCACACATGCCAGGCAAGCACTCAACCACTGAGCTACAACCCCAGCCGGTCCAATGTATTTTTATCATTCCTTCCTCACATGCTTTTTGAAGTACCAAAGTAAATTCACCACTGAAATAAAATTAAGTATATGTTGTAGAATTCAATAGCATAGAAACCAATCCTTTAATATCAAATAATACAAAGAAGTTTTGAACAATGGTTTTCCCTTCATCCTAAAAACTATTGTTAGAGCACAACTTCATTTGATGGCATTCTTCCTTGATTAAGTATAGCAATGCCAATCGATTAACATTGATAAATCTGTAGAAAAGTCTTATAAAACTTTATTTGGGTTAATATTTAAACATTTAAATTCTATTAAAGTTTTCAAAGAACGTCTAGCATTGGATAACATGTCAAAAAGAGGAAACAATATGAGATTTAAAGTCGAGCTCCATCATTTATTATTGGATAAAGATAGAATGTGCTAATTAAGTTCTGACAATCTGTTTTCTTGTCTAGTTAAAGAAAAAAAAAAGAAAGCATATAACACATTAGAAATGATTTACAAACCTTTACATTCCCTCCAAAGACTATCGTTTCATCAATTCAAGGAAACTGGGTTTTTAAGCTGTAAAACTGAGATAAGGAAAGTTCACTGGGTAGTTTAAAACTAAAGTGTGCTTGTTGTTTGTTTGCTGGTTCTATCCACTACTTGTCTGGATTTATACTTCTTTTCTATTTAAAGTGGAGGAATTTCTAGTTACAGAAAAATCTGCTAAAGCCATTCATAGTAGATGTGTACTTTCTTCCCAAATAACTTTTGCCAAACATTTATATACTAAACTTTGATATTGGTATTTCAAGAAGTCATTAATTCTGATATTTTTATAAATCTTAATGCTTACTTACTTTGTTACATAGATTATAAAAATTAAGACCTTTATGAATTGACAAGAATTGATTGCTCACCAAGTATTGCATGGCAATAGAGCGTCGAAGAGGTCCAGGTGGTCCTATCAGAAAGATATCTTGCCCCAAAAGATCCTTCTGCATTATCCATCTTAGATGCTGAACTACAGATTGAGTCGGAGGGTCTGAAACTTTAAGTAGGAAAAAAGAGAAAATGAAATGCAAATTGGACTAATATTTTTAGTACAAATCTCTGAGCAATGCAGACTGTATATTTTAAAATATACTTGTGTGTGTGTGTGTGTGTGTGTGTGTGTGTATGAGACAAGAGATGAGACTGAGACTATAGAGATACCTGGTGAATTTTTACTCTTTCACAATAAAACTATTATTATCAATGCTAAAACAGCACGAAATCTTTGATATAACAAAAAGTCACATACCCTACATGTGAAAACATATAAGGACATTTGAATAATCAACTATAAGTTTCCCTAAAGAAATGAAAGTAATTTTCAAGGATAACTTGAGGAACTGGTATCATTATTTTACCACAATTCCACAGCCTAACCCTTTTGTTCCAAAAGGGAGATACAAACAATCACCTCAATTAATGATTACCACAGAACTTGAAAATTTGGAGACAAGTAAGTATAACTTAAGTTAGCAAAGTTTTTAAGGTTTCCCAAACTCCACAACTAGAAAGTCTGATGTAGATTCAAAACTACTTTGGAATTTATAATTTAAATCTATTCTTCTGTACAAATTCTTTTGGGAACAGAAGACTACTCCATACAATGCCCTTCTAAGTCTGCTTACTAAATAAGCTCCAATGTGCTTATCTTCTACCTCAACATGTTCTAAAATGTTTAAATTAATACAGATAAATTGTGTTTGTTCATGTGTAAACTACCCAATGACTCAAAGAGTCCATCTCTAGGTATATAGGAAAATCTCTTGCCCTTGTACAACTAAAAGACATGTAGAATACTCTGAGCAACATTGTTCAAAATGAAATAAAACTGGGGAAAGGAAAATGATAAACTATACATGATGGAAAATTTACAAAAGAACAAAAACAGAATAAATTATCACCTACTTTGAAAAAAACCTGAAATCTAAATGCTCCAAAATGTGAAATTTTTGAGTGCCTAGATAACACCACAAGTGAAAAATTTCACATGTGATCTCATGTGACAGGCTGTAGTCAAAATGGAAATGGACTATGTTGTTTGAAATTATCTTCAGGCAATGTGTATAATATATATATGCAATATAAGTGAATTTCATGTTTAGACATGGGTCTCATCTCTAAGATATAAACAAATATTCCAAAATAATATTCCACATTTTTAAAAAATGTGAAATCCAAAATACTCCTGGTTCCAAGCATTTCAGATAAGGGAAAATGCCAACAAATGCTGAACCTTAAAAATATCATATCGAGTGAAAAACTGCCACAAAATAAATCATTTGAACTATTGTGATAAAGTTCAACAAACCAGAAAATGAATTCTTTTGAGATAACATGACAAAACAATGCTCAAAAAGCAAAGGAATGATAAATTCAAGAAACTGGATACATGGGAATGTGAGGTGGGCATGGAATCACAGAGATTCTCATGGAGTGCTACAATGGTATGAGTAGTAGTCTAGTTTTTAAATTGGACATGGGCTACATTGTTTGCTTTATTATGCTATATTTTATATATACATAAAACAAGAAACGTATATTATATACTCTTTTGCATATATTGAATATCCATGCTTTTTTAACTTTGCTTAATCATCCAATGAAGTCATGAAATAATTTAAACATCCAACTAAGAAAGCTTGCATAGGAGTGCAAGTGGTTTTGTTTTGTTTTGTTGTCCTCTGACAGCACAACATTATTAGCCTCTCACTCCCAAAGAAAACTAATCGCTAGAAAAGGTAATTTTCTGGTTTTCTTTATCCTGGTAGAAAGATCAAGGGAGAGGTTTTGGGTAGATTGGTTGGTTTATTACATTACTGGAGTAAACTAAAGCATCTTGTAATTTCCCCAAAACAAACTCCTCTATGTCTGAAAATCAACCCAAGTGGAGGTACTTGGCTCCTTTTTTGTCTTAACAATCCTCTAAGAAATGGATGGGGGCATACATCTTCAGGGGAAGCTACTGGAAAAAGAGTTTGAGAAAAAAAATCTTCGATATTACAATGTCTTATTGTCCTCTAAAAGGAGGACCTTTACATAAATGGGTATACAACATCTCTGTGGTATTAAAATTTCATGGAATTGGAGAAGAAAACTGAGATGGAGAAGAATGTCCTTAGAAGAACCATAATAAAAAACTGATTGAAAAACACTGCTCTAATATTTATACTTCTGAGAACTCTTTCAAGTAGTTTCTTGGTATTAGGATTCAATTCACCTGGGTCTACAGAGTTAACCTCACATATAACTAACAGATGTCCTTGTAACTATTTTTTTTCCTATCCATCTTTGTGATAAACAGTCTAATCTTATTTCAAAATAAGTCAGTCTCCCTGCTGTTTAAGGACAAAATAAATAAGAATTAAGAAACCCTAAATTCTTTATCAGTAATATGACACAATTTCCCTATGCTGCAGAGCTACTACTTCTTCTTACTCTAATATCAAATAAATTGTTAAAAACATTTGGGGTATTTTTTCCTACTTTACAAACCTTGGCTTATTCTGGCCACAGGCTTTCTTACCCTACTCTCACAGTTTCATGTTACTCTTTGTGTTCAACTTTGGCAATGTGCCTGATATTCCATTATCTAGACTTGACTACTGAACTTTGCCAAGTTCTAAAAGGTAAAGCCAAGTTGGTCTCTTCAGCTTCCTCCCACCTTTTATTATTTATAACTATTGGTAACTATTCATAATAACAGTCTTATTTTAGTTCTAGATAGTTCCAGTCTATTTAAATGTCTTGATCTTGGAACTATATTCATTTTCAAGGTTGTTTTAAATCCTAGGCAGCAGTTCTCAATCAAATGTAGAAAGGCATGGAGTTATTTAAAGTTAGAACCCTAGGAATTGTGTATAGACCTGTGAATGCTCATGAGAGTGTCCTCCATTTCATGTGTGTTGAGAACCACTGGCTTAAGAAATATCTAACAATTTTCAGCAACCACTTCCCTTATTCTTAGCACTCAACAGTGGTTTTCAACCAATGGTAGTACTGCCATAGCCCAATACCTGCAGAAGGCATCTGGAAATGTCTCGGGATACTTTTAATTGTTGCAAAGCTTCAGGCAATGAGGAATAATTTGTTTTACTACCAATATTTAGTGATGCTAAATGAAATGTCCAAGATAGTCCCATACTGCCAAAAGGTTAATAGCATCCTAATTGAGAAATGCTATATAGACTTTTTTTTTTTTCCTCAATTGCCTCCATTGCCAGCACATTGCTAAGGAGTTGTAATTAGTCACAATTAAGCCCAGAGAAAGCATTCCTCTCAGTTCCCCTACCTGTTGCAAGATGACATTGTTAGGGATGCAAGTCAGTAGCAAGTTCTTCCTTTATGTAGGCCTGGAGGAGATGTCAGGATATCTAAGGCTTTCATCATCACTTTCAATTCTAAATAGCTTCTTAATCTTGTGGCAGATCTTATAGGCTATGGTGTATCTTAAAATGACCATATTTTTCCCTACTTTCATCTTCCCCCCCCAAAAAAATAGCCCTAATAACTATAAATTATTGCATTCCTATCCTGTGTTAGATAAAAATACAAATGATCTTCTATAGTGTAGAAAATAATTTAGATCTCACAATAACCCAATGAGGCAACAGACTACATCTGTGTAAGGACACAGACCTGAGCCACACTGTCTGGGTTCATATTGTAAATCTATTATTTACTAGCTGTGTAACCTTAATCCAGTTATTTAATCTGTGTGCAGTTTCCCCATCTGTATAAGGGACCTAAAAATTGTACTCACAGAGCTAGAACATGGTCCAGTAAGTGCTATGTGTTTGTTAAATACTCATTATTTCTTATAATAAGAAAATCAAAGTTGAAAAGGCAATATCATTTGTTCAGTTGGTAAGTCCTTAAACCAATATTAGACCCAAGTTGTTCCAATCTAAAGCCTACATTCTAGTCATTATGTCCTCTAGGTTCAAGACTTTCCCTACAAGTGCAGACCCACAGGGATACATCAAAAATTTTAGTGGACTCAATGTTCTGTCCATTAGTTCTATTTCTCTTATTTTTGGTGATATCAATAATATATTCTATTCTTTCTATTAAAATGTCAGTCATTCTGTTATGTACATTATATTATCACAGGACTCACTTTTCCATAAAAAATTCTACTTTCTTTATTCCTTTTTTAGGATAGTATATTTTGAAAAACAAACAAACAAACAAATCCCATATTTAATTTGTCAGGAAATTTCATTAAAATGCTAAAAGAAAGCATTATATAGTGCTATGTGATGCCTGTGGTGTATTTACATTAATGATTGAAACTAGCTGTATTTTTAGGATGGCCTCAAGAAAGCATGAGTCATACTTAAAAGCATGCCAGAAATAGAAATAAGATTTAAGACTGTACATTATGAACATCTGCAAAATAAACTGCCATGCTGCCGTGCATAACCTAATATAAACATGGCCCAGCACATGAGAGAAATCTCCAACTTGTTTTCAGGCACAAAATGCTACCTTTCAGGAGTCTACTAATAATAAGCTTATGTCAAAGTAGTACCATATTCTGATTCCCTTTCTATGTAGAAATAAAATACCTGGCTCGTGTTGGGCTAATTATTGTTTCAATTCCTTGTCGATATTTGTTTTAAAAAAAATTTGCCTTTTTTTAAGCATAGTATTATTTTATTTTTTATTGATTTTTTAAAAAATAAATATTAAAAAATTGCTATTTTTGATTAGTCATATTCAAGGGCTTTAAAATAATTTTATTAGAGTAATCTAAATTTTAATTTTCTTCCTTTACAGACTCCAATTTGTCATAAAAGTAAAAATTAGAATTCCAGAAAATTAAACATAGTTCAAATTCTCCTATAATAAATTCTTCAAAACTAGTGATGTTGCTTAGTATCGCAAGAGTCAATATAATAGAAAGAAAAAAAAACTTTGATGCCAAACAAAACTATAGTTAAAAACTACAGTTGTGATTTTGACACTTTCCTTTACCAGTCATTTATCAGTGTTCTT